TATTGGTTTAATATGGTCACATCAGGGTTTTCTCTATCTATTGGTTTAATATGGTCACATCAGGGTTTTCTCTATCTATTGGTTTAATATGGTCACATCAGGGTTTTCTCTATCTATTGGTTTTGTGCTCCCATTTACAGCTGAGCCACGCAACAGACTGGCCTGTCCTTTCCCGCATCACTTTGTTCTGTCCACTTACTATCTGACCTGCGTGTATGCCTCACGGCCAACAGAACCCTTAACTACTAATAGGCTAAATCCTACAGACTACCCATCTAAGGGCTGTCTCAGCAACACTTGCAGGAAACGACCCATCGTGTCAGGCCACACCCCTGCCAGGCCCTGAGGAATCACGACCATGCAGCCCACGAAGAGCGGAGACAGACAGACGAGAGACTGGAAAAGCAACAAGAAACACGCACGATGCCTCCAGTCAACGTGCAGAGCCTGCGATCCATGTACAGAGGCAGAAGGCAGGGCTCAGGCAAGCAGAGACGGGGACCCGGAGCACCAGCTCGACCAACTCAGGGTCCAGTGACGGTTCAGAACCAGGTGGAAAAGCCCCCCACGGAGCGCCCTGTCAGGGGCTGCCCACCTCACTCCCACGGAGCAGCTGGTGGGCCCCAACCCACAGCCTCTCAGTACTTCTGCCACTAAACCTACTATGACCTCACAGCCTGCTCGCACAAACACGTCCCCCAGTTTGCGTTACATGCTTGAGCAGGGACGTGGAGACCACCAAGTTTATGATTTCCAGTCATCTTCTACTCTGCTTTTGGCTAGCCTTCCATCGAGTCCACATCTTAAAAATACAACGCTGTCTATGTGTTGCATTCATCCGTATCGTAATGACAGCCTCATGGCAAGGACCAATACGCTGGCATCAGAACCTAACTGAGAAGAAACAATCTAACTTGCAATTAGGCCTAGCTTCTTACGAAACTGCATTGCAGTCCTAAAGGTACAGAGTTCGAATCCACCGGTGGCTCCATGTGATTAACTGCCTCTGAAAACCTGCTGGTGGGTCAGCTAAGGGGTCATCTCCAGTCGTCATGGAGACTACACGTGAGAGTAAACGTGACCTGCAGGACTTGACCGGCCAGTGCCTCACAGGAGCTTGCCAGGGCTTTCTTCTGCAGCACCTCTGCAGAGACAACTCGAGGCTTCAATCTTCCAGTTAACTGCCAACTGCAGTAACAGGTTTTACCACCCAGGGACTCCAAAGAGATGTAAAGAAAACAGTCATTATCGAGACAAGGTCTGGCTTTTTAAAAAAGGGATTCATTTATGAGGCAAACCTGTTCTCCCATAGTTCTTCTGGCCTGTATTGTACTGTTGTGTGTAGCTGAGGTAGGACTGACCCACAGCCAGCCTCCAGCAGGTTTCCAGAGGCTTTGGAAGCAGAAAGATTACTCCTCTTTCTCCTATGGGGCAGAGGGTGGATTCAAACTGCCTGCTTTTGGGCTGGCAGCACAACTTGTTACCACTAGGCCATGGGAGCTCCCCTCTACTACGATACGGATTAATCCAACACTTAGAATTAAGTCTCTTATGTGTGTCACTATTTCAGATCCTATAAAACTGAGTCTCCTCCCCCAAAGTGCGATCTTCTGTAGCCTTCTCCACAAATGCCCAGAGCCCTTCTGACGGCCTGTGCCAAGTCCTGGCTCCGTGTGTGAGCTGGGAGCCCAGCCTTGCTTTAGTCCTGCCTCTTCTCGACTCCAGGATTTGAACTGAGAGACTTCGAGGTTGCCGTGGGCAGTTAACAAGGGTGGACGCACATGAACATGTCCCCACCTGCCCTCCAGGAGTCACCCAGCCCCGCGCGGGCACCTGCTGGCGGCCGACCTACCTGCTGATAGATGAGTTCCACAAGGTCTTGCAGGGCTTCATCTGTGGTGACCCAGCCGTTCAGGGTGTCAGAAAAGAGCTCAATGTCGGTCTCAAAGCTGCCAGGCTGCTCTGTGAGGTGATTCAGAAAGTCCTGCACATACTCTGACAGCGTGGGGTAGTCCTCACAGCTATCCTCGTAGGATTCCTACAGGTCGAAATCAAACTGGGGCGTCAGCCCATGGAACTGCTCAAAGCAGAGGGAGGTGGCTTTACCTGGATCTCTGCACACCTTTCCTACGGTGAGATCTGACTCTCATCTTCTTTAGTAAAGCGTACTGTACTGCACTGTGTTGTTCTTCCTCCTTTCTCCCCAACAGCCAGTGTGACAATATAACAAAACTGTCTCCTCACCTACGGTTCACTGCCAAGACACTGAGGAAACACGGCTTAAGTCAGGATTTCACTCTGACAACACCAACATACACACTGAATGAGATCAAGGGTAAATCGAAACCTAGGATTTACATGAAATTCTAGGAAGGAGCAGGAACAGAGAGGCAAATTCCAACACTAGCTGGTGAGGCCATTCAGGCCCAATTGACTAGTCTCTGAATTCTTGCAGTTTGGTTGATAACTGTCAGATTGAAAAGAAAACAAACAAACAAAATAAATCACAACAGCAAAACAAATCTGTTACTGGACTGTTAGTCCCCAGGGCCAGGAGACTATACAACTGCCCAACTGTCAAACGGACAGTGGCAACACGCAGGTTCTGACCGACCCTGACAGGAGCCGTCTCCAGCCAACTGCTCCTCCCTTCTCACCTGGTTCCCACGCTCGCGGGGAAGGCAGGAAGGGGACGAAGGGGTGGTCTGTAATGGTATCAGAGCAGAGCAGCACACGTCTGCACTATCGAAGCCTGGAACACAACCTACAATGGTTAACATCCACCTAAAAGTTCTGATCTAACAGTAACCGCACTGCTTGATGAAACGTACCCCCCTCCAAAAGGAATCAGGTGAGAAGACCTAGAAGAGAATGAGCACTGTGGTACAGGAGCATCTGTGACGAGCGCACGAGGACGCCTGGCTAGGAGTAACTACCTTCTGAAAAGCCCTGAGAAGAGAATGAGCACTGCGGTACAGGAGCATCTGTGACGAGCACACGAGGACGCCTGGCCAGGAGTAACTACCTTCTGAAAAGCCCTGAGCACAGCAATACAGACAGAAGTTCTAGTTTAGTGTGAAACGCTACAAGGCCACCATGCCTAATTCCTCTATTTTTATAGACACTAAAATCAGTTACATGACAAGCTGCGTGAACTAGGAGAGGTACTCGAGAACCAAGACTAGCTGCAGGAAGAGCAGGGCCGTGTCCCTGTATCACCTCGTACGCGGGCCCGTGTCCCTGTATCACCTCGTACGCGGGCCCGTGTCCCTGTATCACCTCGTACGCGGGCCCGTGTCCCTGTGTGTATCACCTCGTGCGCGGGCCCGTGTCCCTGTATCACCTCGTACACGGGCCCGTGTCCCTGT